GAAGCTTTATATTTTTTTAGTGGAACAAAGTACTCCAGAGCTGTATAGAGAATATTGTATATATTCCTTCTGACAGGAAACTAATATGATCACATTTTCACAATTACTTACTACAAAAGTAACACCCCAACTGAATTTTGCAATAACAGGAAGACACAAACATTGGCTTTTTTGGACAAATGTAAAATATTGATGTGTTTTAACTGTTCATTTGCTTTATAATCTGTTCAATTGTCAACAAGAGATATACTTGTCATATTGCTCAACATACTTTCATCAAACCCAACATATCTATTGACAGAGATCATACTGAGATTTTTGTAGAAGATTTATTCGCGCAACAAAACAATTTTCCGTTACTATTTTACTTGATCTTCAATATATCCACCCCTAACACAAAATTATATTCATAAACATTTAGATCTGTCAAAAACAATACACATGATTTGATGTGAAAATACTCTTATGCTTGACTATAGAACGATATTCAGTGGTACTCAACAATAAAACTTCTCAAATCGTTCACTTACCTGGAACACCTGATTTCCGCTCAGTTGATAACTAGTTGGAACGAGTACAGATCCACCAGACATAGAAGCTTGTGGCTTGAACACCATGCCAGACGGTCTGATCATAGTTTGTGGTTTGGGGGCCATATTGGTGCCGAGCGAGGGCCGCCCTCTGCCTCTGTTCAAGGCGTTCTGAGTACTCTGGAGCTGCATCTTCGAGAGGAACTGGTACTGAGATGTTTTCGACATCGCCTGGTAAGCTGCAGCGGTGGCGTTCAGACCTTGTTGTCTCATCTTAGGCACTCTTGGTATTTTCGCAGGCGGTTCCCAATCAACGGGAGGTTCCAGGTTCCTTTCCGGCTTGAATTTCTTCGTGCAGGTAACCAAATGTCTGGATAATTTACCTTTCTGGTTGTCTTCGAATGGGCAGTTTGGACACTGGTGGAAAGCGGGTGCTCTCTCAAGGTGACCCCTGACTGCATGTTCAGCTTCCATATGAAAAAGAATATCGTGTGGACTGCGCACTTCGTATGCACAGAAATTACATTTGTAGACAAAGTTCTTCATATGAGGGGTTTCCAAATGGTAAGACATGGCTAGGGAGGATTCCGTTTTGAAATTACAGAACTCACACTTTTTCAAGTCTGTTTTGAAGTGCTCGTTATTTGATTTGCTGTACTGAAGATTCTTCATAAGCGACTTGATAGTTTTTTCAGTTTCGGCGTTGGCACCTCCTTCCCTGCTATGTTTGCGCTTCTGCTGTTTCAAAAGATCAGTTTGTACATATTCTTGCACAAGATTAAAACCGATATTGATAAAAAACTTTCCTAAAGGACTATCAAAGTATGAATAAGGTTTCCGTTGTTCATCAACTCCCTTCTTTGGTTCATAAAGAGGATCACTCTTGTCTTTTTTGCTTTCCTCTTCATTTGTTTCCATTTTCTCGTCCTCCACTTTTTCTTCTTTCTTATCCCCATCTTCACTTTCTTTATCATCCGCCTTTTCCTCTTCTTCCTTTTCATTTTTCAATCGCTCAAGAATCTGTTCTTGAATAGTTTTGATGAAGGCTTTGAAGTCTTTAACAGGTGGTTTTTCATAAACATATGGAACTATGAATGACGGTGCCTCCACGACGAACATGTCGTCAGTCAAGGTGGGAAGAAGAGGTGTCGTCAACGTCGGTGTTATTGTTGCAGGGGCCGTTTTGACTGGCGCGGTTGAAGGGAGGTTTGAGGAATTTATGGGAATTGGAGTTATTGTCGCTCTCATGTTTGGGGGGTACATCCCTTGGGCTGGTACAGCTTTAGGTAGCACATTCGTATAACTGTGGGTGGTTATAGGGGAAGGGGTGGGTTTGGGGATGGGCGCGGGTTTGTTATTTACAGGAACAGGACCATGTCCTGATAAAATAGAATTAGTGTCAATAATCACCAGAGTAGGCTCCTTTTTACCCTGAGTTGTGTTATTCGATTTAGAAGCTATTTCTACAAGTCTTTTTGTGTCTTTTACCACTATTGTTGCAGACTTTCCTGGAATTTTTGGTTTTTCAATAGGAACCCTCTCTATGGTAACGGAGTCACCACAAGCCAAGGGATCTTGAGGTAGAACCTCTTCGACATCCGACTCTTCAGAGTGTTCCGGAGGAGAATTAGACCCTTCCTCTTCTTTATCACTCTCCACATAACTCCTACTTTTATTTAAATTTCTTGAACTCCGCCTAGGGGTCACAGTTTCTCGTTTTTCAATAACTTTTTTCTCAGGAGTAGCATCGCTTGCCAGATCTATAACTTCAGACGTACCATTTTCCTTAGGTATATCAACTATCATGATATCTCCGTCTCCCTCCCCACCAGAATCGTTAAGCTCAATTGGTTCATCGTTACTAATTTTATTTTTACTGCTGCCTTGATCCTCATCGTCAGATTCAATTTCATGAACTTCGTCTTCAGTTCGAACTTCAGATTTTTCAGATTCCTTGGCACTATGCCTGCTGTTATTCTCCTCCTCATCCACTTCTGATTTTTCTCTGACATCTTCACTAGCTTGACTGTTTTCTCTGTCAATCGCTTCACTATCTTCCGTTTGATCGTCGCTCATTTTTGTTTCTTGGCTGATATCATCTTCATTAACTTCCGACTGACGCTCAGTTGCTACAGAACTAACTTCTTCAGCTGTATTCTCAGTTTCTTCATTACTATCCTCCATTGCGCTAACATTTTCTGGTTGATTATCTTTGGTTTCAATAGTTTCATATTCCATTCCTACAGAGTCGGGCAAACTGGACTTTTTGAGACTATCTTGACTGTCTTGAGTTTCCATTTCTATATCATTTGATAGATCACCGTTTGTAACAATGCTACCTGAAAGGGAAAGAACAAAATAAGCAATTTTAAAACCAGTGAATATTTCAATTCCAGTACCTTCTTCTTTGGAATGCATTTCGTCAACCTCTCCCATGTCAGCGATATCTGCCATAGCCAGCCGGTCAGATCTGTCAACAAAAATAAACAAAAATTGTATATCATAAAGGGTGACAGAATTTAAAAGAGAGTAGCTCATAAAAGTTCAATATTTTGAGAAAAAAAAAACATTTGGTTTTATATTTCTTCATCATTATATAAAAAATTTTGGAAACTACCAAAGAAATGAAGAAATATAATAACTATAATAAAAAATCTTCATAAAGATATGTAAATCATCTATAGAAGTTGATTTCAAATACAAACTGAAAAAACCCCTTGTCTAACAACTACTTTCACATGAACATTTAATTACACGAAAGAAAAAAGTCATTTCATAACAACCATTTTCATATGAACATTGAATTACAGGAAAATCCCATTCAGTTTATACTCCAAACTTTCTTAGTTGTTTCAAAACGGTTGTTTCATCCAGTCTGCATCTGAAAGAAACTTCTACGCATGATCTATCTTTATAAAAGTTTTTATTGTAGTCAAATATTTTCTTTTCTCAAATTTTCGAGTATAAATTATTTAAATAGGTACAAGGTTTACTTATAGAACAGCTAAACCTTCATATGAACCAACAATAACTAAAAAGGACAAATTAAATGTCACTTTCCGATCCTTTCTCATAAAAAAATGTTAAAATTCCAAGATGGTTTGGTGCAGATATACTGATATTTGAATAAGGTTCATTAGTATTTTCAATGCAAATGGCTTCAGAAAAAAGCTATTAGCCACTCTAGTTTCTTTGTTTTTCAACTGAATATGGATGATAATGTGGGAGGTCCCTAAAACTAAAATACAGTCAAACAAGTGAACAGGAGCAGAATATTTCTGGGTACAAGTCATAAAAAATCCCCTTTCAATAGTTGGAGATTGACATTCTGGCAGAATGAAAAAGTTTCAGTTGTCTAAAAAAACTTTTGTCAAAAATTCCAAGCAATAAAGAACCCGTTGATTTTTTTAAAGCTAATTCTTTATGATGAACTGATTAATTTATATATTGAACAAATGAATTGGTATGTGAAGAGCTTTTTCATTCTCAAAGAACTATTGGGAAGTTGAGAGTTACAAGATGGAAGCTGGACCCTTGTTAGTTTTTGTAAATCTTAAAATATTTTTGAACTGATCTTTATTTTAGTTAGGTCTGAATTATAGAAACTATAAAATATAAATAAAATTAACGTATTCAAAAAACAGTTTTTCGTGGGATTTTTGAAGTGTTTTTTTGAATATTTCATTTATGGATTTTCATCAAGTATCGGCCAATTCCATCATATATATAGAAATCATATTAGTATGATTCACATGAGCGCCAGTCAATCAACCACAAGTCAAAAATAAGTGAACACTGTGTATATATTATATATTTTTGGAAAAAAGTGCTGCCCAGGCATCGGACATTTTCGTATAACGGTGGAAAAGTGGAAAGCCAAAAGCTTTGACTCCCATCTACAAAAGTAATACATGAATTCAGTATTTAAAGGGCCACATTTTGTACAAATGTTGAAAAAAACCCATATTAGTATTATCATAATGAAAGACCTTGAATTAGCTGATAACTATTTCTTCTGGAGGCTCCTACTTAGGGCTGCACCAGACATAACCTTATACTAGATAAAATCTGAGAGAAGGTGATTCCCTGTTTGTTCCTATATGTTTTTAGAAGCTGAAAACTTTATGGTATTTCCTGAAAAATTGGATGTCACCTGTTGAAAATTTTTCCCAACATGAGAATGTGAATACAAAATGGCAACCTCACCTGGTTATTGTGTGCATAAATTGTAGTCCCAATCACATAAAAAAGGTGAAAAAATCGTTTGGGCTATATAAAACCATCATCCAATAAAGATTCAGGAAGTAAATTTGACTAGCTACCCTGTAAGTATTTATTTGGATAGGCACACTTTACCACAGAGCAGATGTGGTATTTTGCGAGATGAATTTGTTATATTAATATCCTCCTTAGTCATACATCAAAGGGGTATCACCAAGGTATTGTTGTAAAATATTCGAAAATGATGGATATTCTTAACTTTCAATCCTACACGGCTTGTATTATGATCGTAAACGTAATTTGTGTTGAAACTCACGTAATTAACCTTTTGATAAAATTTCTCTTTCTCCACCACTGTTTAGTGTAGACTGTGGAGAGGAAAGATAACAAAACCAGTGCTACCAACGCCGCTGATTCATAGAAGATACTGAATTTTTGGTTTGCCTTTCATTTTTCTAAACATTTCATTCATCAATATGAAAACAATAATACCTAATATTTACCATAAATCCTTCAATATTCTAATATTCCCGCCATAGCACATGGGATTTCACTTGAAAGAAACAGAACATCTGCACCGCCAATAGCACTTTGTGACAATTGTCGTAAATACCCGAACTAATGATTAACCCGCGATATTCAAAACTGTAAACACATGAACTCAATAAAACGAAACAAACAGCGAACTGTGATGAATTTGGTGTGCGTAATTATGATTATTTTAAATCAGAAATCTGGAGAGAAAACCAAACACACGTCGCTATCCCCAAGCATCGCACCAAACTGCCAATATGGCGTCTAACGGTACGTCACGTGACCAAAAATAGTGACGTAGTTCTCCATCCCACAATGTCTTAAAATTTTTTCCTTACGTAAGCTCAAATAGAATTTTACAACAATTGAGAAAATATATCGATTGATATGTTACTCAATAGGCGTTTGTTCCCGAGGAGAATTTCGAAAAATATTCCTTTTAATTATTTATCCACCGTTGAAGTTATTATTTTCTTCGCTAATAACAATTAGGTACTATAAATACGTATTTTTCAATGAACCTGGATTGAGAACTTGAACTTTTGTTTTCTTTTCAACGTCTTAGCTATCAAAAAATTTTTATTGTTCAAATGGAAGATTTGATTGAATTATTACTGTTTCAAAGTCGTAATTAATTCAAATAAAATAAGAAATTGGATACTTGGAAAGCCGGGTTTTCACGGTAACCTTTCCAGTTTTCAAACAAACTCAGAGGTTTTTACTCCAAAATGAATTGATCATCGGGAAAATGTGAAATAGTCAAGTGAGAGACCATTCTAGAACGTGAATAATTTCTTTGGGAATCGGAAGATCACCGCACCCGGTAAAAAAGTGAAGCGGGCTCCCCTCGCTCGTAGAATGGTTGCGCCCAAACCTCATTTTGTTCATGTACACTCCACTCCGTCTCTAATAACTTTTCCTCAACGCTAACCGATGGGTTTGCAATGCTAGATTCGCTTTCCAATATTTTATCGAGATTTCTCGATTTTCAACAAATATTTATCAAAAATCAATGTTTTTTTTTCAAGATTCTATATTTATTCACACAATGACTAGAGAGGAAAGTACCGTCTAATTCGGATAGAATTTTTTCAAGGCGTAGGTACACTCTGTTGGAAAAATTACGCCGGAATCGCGTTGCTGTTTATAACGAATTATACATTCCGGGAATAATGAAATGATGCATGGTTTCGACTTACCTACTCCTTATTCCAGGAAATAACAAATATAATGTCTACCTAGGTATATTTTAATTTTTTTGGGTAGGTAAGCCTGATAGGGTTGATTATAGATTAATTTTGGGTTTGTCTTTTGTCTCACTTCAATGAACCTTGTCTAAATTTAGAAAATATATTAACTTTATATCTTTCATTCAGCTTTATGAGTCATCGTGAGACTTGCATGTAGGCAGGAATAGGTATTTAAAACGTTTCGACTTCTTACCAGATTTCCCTGAATTTTTCAGGAAACTCCGTTCTAGGAAATTAACCTGCATAATACGTATAGCTAACGAAACATTTGTTTGTTTTTCTACCTATTGGTCAGGTACCTTCAAAAGATACCTGATTCCTGGAATGGTTAAATTTGTCTGGACCAAATAATTACCTAAGTATTTCAGAATCAAAGTAGAAACTTCAGTAATACAAGTTTTTCATCAAAACTTACTACCCAAGGCTTCAATTATTCGATAACAAACAAATCTACAGATATATCTATCAACCTAAAACCTGAAATCTGAAAAATACCCGTCATGATTTTATGTTCAAATGTACGTAGCCGCTGTAGATAGAAGTATTGATTTTCTTCGGCGAGGGGGGTTACTACACCTACCTATATTCAATAAAATAAAATCATGACAACTTACTCAAGTTAGGAAAAATTAATCGTCGTCCTCCTCTTCGTCGAAGGAAAGAAGGCTTTTGTTTCCTGACTTTTTTGTTTTCTTGGTGGAAGAGCTTTGTTTTTTCTTAGACGATTTTTCTTCTACTGGTTCCTGCTTATTTGGCGCTTTGAAGATGATCGGTACACTCAAATTAGCTGGGGCTTCATCCAATTCTGGCAATCAAAATAACAGGATATCAAGGAGAGAATTCAAATAATAATCAACCGTTATTTTTTGGCATTGAAAATACCTCGAAATTGATGATACAAGTATAGTAAATTGAGATAATAAGTACTACAGTGATAGCCTCATAGGGTGTTTTTTAAAACCTATGGCTTTCAAACACTCCAGATTTGAGCAAAAGTTCATCTTGTATGCAAATATTCATGGATGGATCGACATAAATCAAATCAGTTACAACAACAAAACAGAAAATCAAAACAGTTACAACAAAAGAGTTCAGAGAGTCTGAGAGTCACAAAAATGGCCGTGGTCCCCTGCAAGAGTGTTAAATCTAGCTCAAAGTTGATTTAACTTGAATTTAACTTGAACGCTTCAATTTTGAAATTAATAAAAGCGTTATAGCAATCTGTGCTAGTTTATTTATTTTTACACTTCTTCGCCTATTTTTAATAACGTGTAATGCTTGATATACATGAGCTTCTTAATATGTCTTTCCATGGTTTGTGTTCTTCTGTTTCTAGAAGCAACTTTAAAATATTCATAGCACTCGGAAATTCAGAAGAGCTGTAAAAACATTTTTGATCACAAAACCGTTTTATGATTTGAGGGAGTTTTTGAACAAAATTTTGAATAGCTGTGACAGCAGTACAAAATATGTCGTATCCTTGTCCCACACTAACTATGTGTGTATGTATATATATGTTATATATTCCAAGCTACGATACAACATACATGTATACATATATAAAATGTTTTGATTTTCAAAACAGGCAGTTAAAAAGTACATACATATATCTATTTTCAACATTTTATATATGTATACATATGTATATATAATTATGTTGATATTTTAATCAACTGACAACTGTATCCTGTTTAGTGATTAAACCAATTGATATAGAATAAATTAGGGAAAACTGTTTTTATAACTATTTTACTAAATAGTTGTGAAAATATACAGCATGACTGTATATATACATTTATAAGTTCATCTTTCAACATCCGACAATCCATATCGGTTTGCATAACTTTAATTTTATTTAATTATCATGACCACCTGCTCATTTTAAGCAGCTACGATTTATGTCCTATTACATTTAGAAGCTTTGTCGATAAGAATTCTATTCTTTAGATAATAAACCATGCTTTGACTTTGACAAGTTAGCCTGTATTGTATATACCGAAGAATCGTTCAGATGAATTACGGACAAATACATTTTTTTTTCTGCTGTTTAAATTCTATTTGAATTGACCCATACACTGCACGTCAATATGTTGACGGTTCGGAAAGTATCAGATAGATTAAATCAATAAATGGAGTTCGCAATTTAGGAATAACAATAATGAATCTCACATAGAAAAAAACGTTAACATGCGAAATCTCTAATTAGGATTTAGTATCAGAAATAGAAGACACTCCAGAAACGTTAAAACTATTTAAATTCGTTAAATAATTAGCCCATAAAACAGACATCCTTATATCGATGAATTTCTTCGTACAGTTTTCAAAATATATTCCCTGTTATCTCTTACAGATATATGTTGTACAAAATATTGAATAATCGTGTCGATTGTCCTAAGTTAAAATTGTCATTGAATACACCTTGCAGAGACCATGATCTCTTTGCTACCCCATTTAGAAAAACCAATTCAGGTAAAATCTCCCCTTCATGCAGAATTGTCGGATCCTTCTATAGGTATTGCAAAGATATTGAAAACTCAGGTTACCTTTCCTTAGATTCAAAAACTTTATGAAATCTCTATTATTAATAACTAGTTATCGGTTCTTCGTTTATTGTCTGCTTCATTTATTCTCATATTCGTTACTACTGTAATTTACTTAGCGTTCATACGTAAAATGAGGACACATTTTGAATTCATTCTGTTTACATCCCTAGTCGTGCAAAAACTAAATACAAATATGAATGCGTTAAATTTGTTATAATATTTCAGTAGTTGGTCGCGCCCGAATTTTCTCTTTAATGTAATTATATAACTATAATTAAAGTTGGTGTCAAAATCCATCGTGATCCCAACTTTCAAATTTGTTGAAAAACAGATTTTTAGTGAGGACATAAATCATTTGGGATAAGTTCTAACGGGATCTGATGCGTTGGACTTCGTTCAGTGATCGAATCACTTTGGCCTCAAATCCCTCTGATCTCAATTAGTTTCCCGACGAAATTGTAGACTAGTTTTTGCAGATGACAAAAAATCTTACTACTTCGAAACATTTTCTGATATCCTCCTCCTTGATGTATGGTTTTTGACCTACACAGGATTTTTATGGGGGTTGAACAGGGAAAAGGATCTCCCCACATCAATGTCCTATCTTTGTTGATCGATAAGATGTTAAACTAATACACTGTTGAAAAAACTCACCACAATAACAACACTTTCAACTAATTTGGTACATTCCAGATGACATAAACTGAAACCTTTCACTGACTGCTGATTGTCATGAAACATTATGTTATATGTATGTTCCCCCACTTCCTCTTCGTGGACCAATAGGTGAAGCTTACTTGTGGCTTACCCAATAAAACCAATGGCCACTGAGAAAAAGTTCAGGATCCCAAAGGGGGGGTATTTTTCATTTATTTGACTCGACTATTGGTTACAGTCACATTCTAGGCGACAATATCGTTAATAGATAACATAAAGATGTTGTTAGACTGTTCAATTGCGTATGTATGTTCATAATGAGAGGTCTACTGAGTAAGTATATACCTTGCTGAATTCCTGAATACGAAAAAATCTGAAAACATTATATTTTGCTGCTGAGTTACGGAATTTCGGGATGGGAAAGTGTGGTGGGAAGTAATCTGTATAATTTGATTTTGTACAAAAATGGATTAGATAAGGTATTCCAGTGACTCGCTATACTCAGAGAACTCTATTTTTGATATAAGGCACATGTTCTGTCATCGAATATTGACGAATATCCATGAAAATGAAATAAAAATGCCACCCATTGTACACCCATACGAGACTCGAACAAAAGAGCAATCCACAATCGTGCCAAACCGAGAAAAAACTATCGATCAACGATCCGTTGAATTTCTGGCACCTAAGTTATATAATTTACTACCGGTCAGTTTCCAGACCACGAAAAATTACAAAACATTCAAGCATCTTGTTAAAATGTGGATAACAACCACCGAGAGAAAACTTTTTTAATGATCTGATCGACTTGAAATTTTTGTAGTAAACTGTGAACTCGCTCCATATTACCCACATATAAGACCATACACTTATCTTCACTTGAATTACGACGAAACCCCAATACTCGAATATGTCAAACTAAACCGGACTAGACTAGACCAATATAACTAAAAAGGACTTTTCCTTACCCCATTCACATTATAAATTATTATGTTTGCACATGCATTTGTTCCTTTATGACCATTATTGTATAGGTATTAGTTAATTATTATTATTATTATTAAGGTATTATCACACACAAGCTTCAAGCTTCAGTGATTTATCATGTTTACTTTCTATTCTATTTCTATCTAATGTTCTAATACACTTCGTAAATTGTTGGACAATAAACATTATTATTATCATTTCCCCCTTCATCGATAGCTTGACTTCCTTCAAAATCCAAGGTGAGAAATGAATATTAGATCACAAAGATGATTGTAATTTTCAATTGTAACTGTGTTTTGCCAACGTAACACAAGTAGATTAACAAAGAGACTTCTAGCACATAATCCCATGTATTTTCTTATTTTGCAATTGTTGCAATTTTCATTCCATCCTTTTCTGCATCGATTACGTCACACGTTTCTCTCTCCCACTCACTGAAGCCTCTACGAACCACAACTACCTCGAGTTGGTTGTTCCACAAGGTTCCAACCTGATGTCATGAACATTGTAAAAAATGTACCTCCATCAGAAAATACATGGGATTTTGTGCTAGAAGTCTCTTTATTCATCTACTGAAACAAGTCGATTAATCCCGTCGGAATATAAATTATTTGCTCGGGATTCGATGAAGCAGACGAAGGCCGTTTCTGCCTGGTCCTGATTGTCAAAGGTTCTACCGGTGAGAAAGTTATCGAAGCGCTTGGAAAGATGGTAATCGGTTGGCCAGAGATTTGGGGAGATCAAAAAGAACAGTCTTCGAAACATGATCATTTCTGTCGACTATTCAAAGCGTGATGCATCAACTTTTCAAACTTTTTGACCTTTCCAGTACGTTTTGAACCATCGGAGACCGCATGGGAGCTAACGCCCAGTTCTTTCGTCATCTCAAGCACCGTTTGTGATGGGTCAGTCTCCACCAGGGGCCTCAAATCCTCGTCCTGGATAACTGTATGTCGACCACTTCGGGGCTCATCTTCGAGGCTAAAATCTTCGGGATGAAATTTCACAAACCAACGTCAAATGGTGCGTTTATTAACACTATCATTGCCAAATGCCTGGCAAAATTTTTGAAACAACCTTATATATTTCAAGCGTTTATCCTCTTTCAAAACCCTTGCATATCTATATAACAAAATAACTTCTGGGACTGATGTCCATAATTCAAACTGTCCACAGCAGTTTATGAAACATATCTTCATTGTGGATCTATTACTTCACCTGACTCTACAATCGACTCCCACACTCAATGAGATCACTTTCATCTCGCAAAGTAAANAATAAATTTTGTTGTAAGTTACATTCGTTTAATAATCACCCGTCAACTTTTTTTTCCCTAAAGCGATCAAAATTATTGCCATTTTCAAAAATATCCCTAGACTTTTCCGATGTGTGTATTTATAACTACGGCTAAATCAGTAATTTAGTTGTACGCATTGTAGTGTGATAACTTCAAACAAGTGAATAAATTGAAAAAATGATTTACCTACTCTTTTTTAGAACGATGAGATTCAAAAAAAACAACATTTCTTTTTACCAAACTGTGATGTGAATCACATATTCTTGATTTATTATCAAAATCCTGCGCAACTGAGTTGGCGTCAAATATAAAAGGAGGTAACTACCTACTGAATAAAAAAAAACACAAAGGAAGGATTTGGGAATATTTGTTAACGATCCCAGAAGCATATCAGACGAAAATATCGCACAAGAATGGAAGAAAACAGTGAAAAAGCATACATTTCATCATCATGAAGTGCATATACAAAAAGACTAATATACGATTCCACTTGAAAAGTATTTGATTTCGTTTTTTGTATGCAGCACCAAATTTGATTGATAGTAACAGGAAAAAATTTCAACAATTTAAAATTCTCAGATGAAATATGGAAACAGGGACATTACATCGTAGCTCCTGTCTGTACTATAGGATTACTCTACTCAACTCTCTCTTCAATAAAGTCAGTGTTCCTACAGACCACATTGATTTCATTTAGGCTCAGATATGTTCTGCAAACAACAATTCTGTATCTGTGGGCACTCCAAATCATACAGAGAAAGCTATCCGAAGACGGGAACCTGAAAGAGAGNTGTTAGATGTAACAAAAAATCGAGGACACGTTCACGTCGACATCGACACAAATTCCTCCAAAGATATCGAAAAAACGTTATTTCAAATGAAGCTTAAAGAAATAGGTACTTTTTTAAAGTAAATATTGGTTGTTTCAAAAGTTTTCTCCGTTTTGATGTCATTAACTTTTGTAGCTTCATAGTCGGAAATGGGAAGAACGTTTTACTGAGTTTTTTGCAGAGGAATTCGATGTGTTTTTTGAAATCAAGTTTTCTTTCTAGTTGTGTTCCAAAAAAATTTGTAAGAGGTGAGGTTGACAGAGAAACCGAATCTATATTTAGATTCAAGTCATCAGACTTACCCAGCTTGCTGATGAATTCAACGCAAACTGCTTTAGATATATTGTTAATGACATGGTTTTTTGGGATCATACTGTGAAACTACTAATTACAAGGGTTAATCTTTCTTTCAGGAAGGATACGTTCTCCACTATTACTGATACTTGTATCGTCTGCACACATGAATGGCCTACCACGTTCAATGAAACGGGGCAAGTCACTAACATAAAGAAGGAAAAGAAGAGGTCCCAGTATTCCTCCCTGCGGCGTACCGATTTCGGTCTGCCGTTCTTCTGAGCACATCTTCTTTATTTTTACTTTAATTATTCTTTCAGTAATGTATAAATGAATCCAACTGTTAATGGGACATCGTATGCCTATTTTACATAATTTTTCACACAAGAATTTAGGATTTATGGTTTCGAATGCTCGTGTGAGGTCAAAAAAGATACCACAAACATGTAGTCTATCGTTTAAATTTTCATGAATATTCATGATGCACTGTTTGGAACCTTTGGTCTATTAATTAATATTACTGGAGTTTTTTTCCAACACCAAATCGTTATTTTTAACACCTCGACACGTGTTTCGATCACCAAGTGATCATCTTCAAAGAGGAAGATTNAAGGGGAGTAAGCAACCTTTCCAAAGTCTTACAACGAGCTGAAACGGTCACGTGTGCATAGTATTCCGCTCGTGTCGCACCCGTCTTGGTTAGCATAAGTGCGACTCTGTCTCAATAGCGTTCTGACGTGGTGAAAAATAAACTCGAAAACGCAACTCTCTCAATCATCAGCTTTGAACTCTCAACATTCGGAGAAAAAAATGCGAAAGATCGATGTAATATGCCTGCCCGGAATTCACTAGTAAATTTATTTGGCGATTTGACGATTATCAAAAAGTTTGTGCGCTCTTTTGAATTAAATATTGAAATTAAGATATCGCGGGTTTTGTTTTGGCGCTCTTGTACTACGCATGCGCCATGCGAAAAATCCCGAACAGGTCTGATCTTAGTGAGTGAGAAGACGATCTGGCTGCTTATCTCATTACCATTACTCATGTCATTTATTGCAGAAAAAACAATTTTCCGAGCGAATCTTTCCACTCAACAAAAACACCTATAGAGGTGAGAAAGATTGCGAAAAGTTTAATAGTATAAGTGCCACTTACCTTTCTTTAACCTCTCTTGTTCTTGGGAAGCTTCTTCAGCTGTTAAATCACCAGGTTTCAAAACTACAATCGTTGGTTGTTCTTCTGCGGTATCTTGTAAATCTTCTTCTGAGACTTCACCGTAATCCTCACGCTTAATTAAAAAAAAACTATGATAAGGTAAACGAAAAGAAAAATGTAACATAACCTACTTTAGTGTCAACTGTTGGACCTTCTTTATAACCTGCTTGCAGTTTGAGTTTCTTCAAAAAACTGGGTTCGTCGGGTTTTATGAAAGCTACGTGCCTTTTTGACATTGCTTCATTGGAGAAACTCGGAAATAAATAATCGAAACTCTTGTAGAATTTCGTGAAGCACGATTCGCCCTACGCACAGTGGGGCCAGAATCACGAACTGACTGCGAGTAACACAAAATTGAAACGTTTCTACTCCACGGCATACGCTGATGCCGGTTTTGCGTTTTGCCCTTCTCAGTTATTTTCTACTCGTCGCCGTATCCCTCATTCATTTTCCTACTATGTCAGCTCTAGAAAATGCGTGTTTTCGACACACTTAGAAAGTTTATCGCACAGATATAATATCCCCTCTTTCAACAAATCGTAGTTATTTTACTATATTTTTCGTTTAATTTTATATTTTCATGATTCTAAAGCCCCCTCCCTTCACTGTTACGGTAATATATCGATTGGAGATGATATACAGGGCGAATCAAAAAGTGGAATGCTTTCTCGTTTTAAAATAAATAAATTATTTCAACTGAATCTTAGATGTACAGCAACTGAACTGGGATACATAATCACTTCAAAACTATACATCGGTCAATCATCTGGTCATTATATCAATTCATTTCATGTTCGTTTACCTTTTATTCGATATATTATACATATTCATGTATTATTTCGTAATAGCCGCCACTCATTATCGTTCGACTCCTGATGCTTGCAATTCTAATACCTATTTCACTTCTTTTTTCTTCGTTTCATTCAAACTAGCCATACTGCCATGCTTTTTTAAGTATATTATGTGATTTTTTTTCTTTTCAAACGACTTTTCTGCGTTTAAACATGACTGACCACGACAATGTCCACAAGCTTTAGAACATCTCAATCCAATTTTTTTACATCCACATTTGCCGCCACAACCTTTTGTACAATTACAAAAGATTGTGTTTAGTAGATCACCGGGTGCTGGTGGCAATAAAGTTGTTATTGGTTGTTATATATTATTTTTCAAAACCCAACCCCACTGTTCTGGATCAAATTTCTTTTCCTAGTCAGGTTTGTATTTGATAAATATGCTGTAGAGCTGCTGAAGAAGTGGGTGGTAATAATTGAAATTTCACCGCTGTGCTTTGTCTTGTTAGTTTAGCAAAACTGCAGTATCTGTAATTGTCAATTGAATTTTTTGATATTGGAGCACCGTACATTGCTAGTAGAAAATGTATTCCAGCATTGACAAGGGCATCTCGAGCGCAATTTTCTTGTTGGAATATTTCGGCAGAATTGTGTAAATCGGGCCTTTTTTCAAACATCTTCATGACTTCAATTTTTCCTTTCCCAAAAAGTGTTGAAGTTGTGTCACAGAAACAGAATATTTTTCTTTCAGTGTAGATACTTGTTGAGGCTCTCAGTCGAGTATTTTTTTGTTTCAACATTGCAACTTCCATCGATTCATTGAAGTGCACTTCACAAAAGATGTAGAAACGGCTGCGGTTCGTCTTAGTTATTCCATCGCTTTGATATTTTTACTGGTATCGGAGTAACCATCAAAAATGACAACAGTATTTTGACCAAAGTTGTTTGATAAATAATTAATATATTTGTTAATGGTAATATTGAATGTATAATTTTTTTGCCATACAACACGATGCATAAGAAATCCACCATCAATTATGCATGTATGTTTTAAGAAAACTTAAGTACATTGATAAAAAGCAATAGAGTTGACGTCTTATATGTATACGGTATACAATACCCTATGTGAGTAAATGCTACTCGCTTTCTCAGCGCTCTAGTCCGAAAACGGTTGACTTTACAGAAAAATGCAACAGACATTTTTTGTAGATAATCGTATGAGAAATAATTTTTATAATGACCTTTATTGACCTCCGAGCCATAGGTCGCGAGATATTCGCGAAAAACTGACTTTCGTGACCTTTTGACCCTTATAACTTTTTTAGCCGGCACGATATCAATGTCGATTTTTCACATCTTCATTAAAACGCCATAATGAAGGTTCATACCAAAATTCAGCTCAGTAGGAATTTTTCCGCAGATTGAGGTTTGAAAAACCTAAAATGACTGGAGTATTGGACAACGCGGCGATAAAACAGAAAGAAATTGTTCAGTAGTAGCTATCAAATGTTGGGAAAGCTTGTCACAGCAGTAATTAAAACGCATAGTTTCAAAACTGATAACAATCCATACTTTATTTACAACTAATAAATGAAACTTCAACAATAATAATAATAATGAAAAATAACGAACAATGAAATATATTTCCACAAAGAAGGTGTTCGAAATATCTACCAGCTTCTCCTACATACTGGGGCTACCTTTTCTGAACGTTTTTTGGCGAATCGATTAAGTCAATAGGAGTGAGAGATGCAAAACTTTGCATTACTGTCGCTTCCAATTCGTATCTAGAATTGGTCGTCAATTCAAAAATATGAGATCTTTCAACCTGCCGCAGAGGTAAAAGTCCATAGGCGTTAGGTCCGGTGGCCTGGCAGGCCAACAGGTGGTTTTTTGGTTGGCTATCTAATTATTACCAGAATTTGCAGCCAAAAAATGTATGACAATTACGGTGTTATGAGGCGAAGCCCAGTCTTGTTGAAAATATGTTTTCCTGAGCTCCATTACTGGCAATTCATCAACAAGGGTAAATCGCCTCAAGTCATAAAGCTGAAAAGATGCAAAAATTTGAAATTTGGAAAAAATTAACAGCATCTATGTATAGAGTACAAAATTCTCTATCAGTCGGTATATACTACGGCCACCGACAATGCTACGACACAGTAGAATAAATATTTATCGAGATATGGAGCTACAAAAACACATGACAATAAAACGGACAAAACTTTCCAAACAACCAAATACTAATTCGACTAAGTACTCAATAACAATACTTAGAAAAAGACAATATAACCTTGATCAGTTCTTTCTGCTTTCTGCTCTTTAATGCTAATTTTCACGAGTTACTTATCCAAAACCTCGTGATAATATTCTTTCAGTTTTTATGATATATCTATAGGTACATATTAGGAAAAATTGTATAAGAAATTGAAGTGATAAGTGAAGTTTCCTTGTTTCGATTCATTTGAGTATATAAAAAATGTTACAACCAACATTTTTTATATTTGAAATTTGTCTTCAACAATACCATCGGCATCTATCAGTAAATTTCAGAATATGGTCGTGATTTGGAATATGTTTTCTTTTCTGACAGATGGGTACAAAAATTCTTACCTCTATCAAAGTCCCTCTCTGATTCATAGATGTCACTTAAATACACACTGGTTCAGCCTTAGACAAGAGAAGGGAGGCCTTGTGACAATGCCCTTGTGTGAAAAGACCTCACCTAAGGATTTACCTCAAGTCATTTCAAACAACGGTTTTAATTTTCAATGGGAACTCTGCCATCTACTGTTGAATTTTATTTACACCGAGTAGAGAACTATAGATATGTAGAATCCCTTTCTTCTGAATTCAAGGGAATGGAATGATTGCGTCTTTGAATATTGACTTACAGACTATATCCAGACTATATACAGACTATGTCCATTGCGTCATTGTTTGAAAACAAATAAAATTTGAAGAATTTGACCATTAGTTAAAGAAAATTATTTCATGATCATATTATATCATCTATCTATGAGAACAGAAGGAGCCAAAACATCGCAAAACGAACATGAAATTTCTAAACCAATCCAAGATCAAACATACATTTCTAAGCCACTTAAATAGCTGTTAAATGTAAAACTATCGTATTGACATCTTGCCCTCTCATGGTCTCGCTGATGGTTTCTATACTCAGTATAGGCACGCCTGAAAAAGCTACTGTTTAGTGAAACACGTGTTGCGTTTTTGTAAAACTGATTGGTGTATATCTCACATTACAGTGTTTCTTGAGCTCAGATTTAAACGAACACACCTGATTTGTGTTTACACAGAATAGTAAACACTATTCTGTGAATTTATTGTTCCAAGGCAAATGACAACTACAATTTGAGGTTATATTTACAATTTGTGGATTTGCTAAAGCCACCTCTAACATTTCGAGTTTTTCTCTAAATTATCAATTTTGGTCGAATTATGGCTGGTGGATTCACAGAGACCGCGTTCATAAAGAAGCTAGCGGAACTCAATAATTCCTCTCAAAGCATACAAACTTTGAGTTTGTGGTTAATTCATCACAGGAAACATTATAGTACAGTTGCCAAAATATGGATCAGAGAACTAATCAAAGGTGAAAATATAGTCTTATAGTCTCACTCACTCATGAAACTATAATCTCCGGTCTTATTTTCAGCGAAGGATAATAAGAAACTTACTTTCATGTATCTAGCTAATGATGTTATTCAAAATAGCAAAAAGAAAGGCCCTGAATATGGACAGGAATTTGGATTACATTTGAAGAAGGCCTTTGAACACATGTCAAAAGGAGATGAAAAAACAAAGAACAGTTTGGATAGGCTACTTACTATTTGGAATGAAAGAGGAATATATGATGGTGTATTGATAAGCGAATTCAAACGAGCACTGGGTAAGCTCACATAGCTAGGAAATGTGATGTTTCGTAATCATAGTTATCCTCCAGAAAAGTGTTTACAGTTGTCTACTTTGAATAATTTGTAGACACTATTTCCTAACTGAAAGATGCATAGAAATCCTGGTGTTTTAACTGATTCACTTTTGATTTGCCAACATGGTGCAACAGTTGAAAACTATTGTCCGTACTTTGTTCAGATTATTGAAAATTCAAGTGCAAGTATAATCAAAAAGTTGCAGTGTGCCAAATCTAATGACTCGGTGGACAAAGACCATATGGTACTGTCAACAAATCGAGTGTTTTTGACTACTCAACTCCGTTTTTTTCACAAAATTTGATACAAATTCGTTGATCCATTTTTTTCGTTAGCTGAAAATCCCTGAACACGCCAAACATTTCTTACTTTTATGCCTCTCACCAACAAACTAAACTAATACAGCTGATACTGTGAACATATGTTATATGGTATTCATTTGATTTTTTGTAGTATTAGGTTATGAGCCTCCTCCTAAGAAATCTAAACCTAACGACCACAAGAAAAGTCCAACTAGGGAGAGGAAAAAATCTGAGACTGAAAAAGTCATAGAGGTAAGAGTAAGTATGAAATGCTTAGTATGGAACATCATTACAGACTTTTTACAGCATTCTGACGGGTCAATTGAGACTCACGTACACTTGAGCCCTCATACGCCCGCTGGAGATCCTCCTGAACCAGAAGAACTGATCAAAGCTATCCAAGATTTAGAATTGAATATTGCCTCCTCGGATGAAATTGTTCGAGAAAGAATAGCTAAATTGCCAAGAGAAGTTTCAGAAGTGTCATTAATTTCGAAAATTGAAGGTAAGCATTTTTTCAAATTTACAATTATTTGCCGAATGTCTGGTGTAGTGTTGAAATATACTTGAAATATAATAACACAGGTTAAATTCTATAAAAAAACTATGTTTTGTGTGGAATATTTTTAGTCATACAAAAAAAAAGTTATTCGAATGACGTTTTTAGCCATAATTATATAAATCATTGGTTTTTTACAGTATGGTATACAGATACCTATTTTCTTTAAAATAACAGTTTTATTTTTCATTTTAGATAAAGAAGCTGCCGAAAAGCTTAGTTTACAAGTTGGAGAAGCAGTCCACTTACTGAGCCAGTACAATACTAGATTATCAGCTGAAATGGATCATAGAAAGAAAGTATCAGTTATGATGCGAGACTTTTTATTAGTTCAAGAGGAACTTTTGGCTCAGGCTGAACGAAACTTGGAGGTGAGCATTAATTAGATTTTTCCTGATATTATTTAAATAACAGTGTCAATATTTTTATTGTTTGAAGGCTGTTGATTTTTGGAATTTCTTTCCGACGATTTGCTGGCGTAAGTGGCTAGTTTCCTCAGAGATATACAGTGTCACCATCAAAGTGCGCACCATATGGAAAACTTTTTTTTCGAAAAGGTTCAATGAAGTTTAAGCACTTGTTTGTGCTTTGAATTTAACATGAAATGATGCGGCCAATTGCGACCCACTGACGTTCGGTGTTTGTCAAATTCAACTTTTTTTTTGAAAAAAATTGAAAAAGTGCATTTCTAGATCGAATTTAACAAAAAGTTACTTGAAAAAGTTGTGTCTACGGCAATTTTATATCCATATGCCAAATTTTATGCAACTAGGAT